GTGGGAGGCGGCCTACCAGAAGGGACAGGTGGTGGGACTGGGGACAGGGCCCAGGGCGGCCCACCTCCACTCTCAGCCACCGTTGTAGACCCAGGAATGAGACAGACTCCTGGGATAGTGGCAATGAAGCTGGGCGTACCGTGTCCCTGTTAGGTTCTTGCCTATGAAATTACCGACATTCAATGGAACTTGACTGACAAAAATGGCAATTTCATGTGGTTGGACCTCCTAAAAATCCAGGCTTTCTCTGTGGTCAGGTGGGCTCTGGCAGGTTTGGCTTGGGTCCTGACGAACCCTTGGGAAGTGTGTCCTAAATTGCAGTTGGAGCAAAAGCGGAGACAGATTATTTAATTTATTCAACACGTGGAGTTTACTGTGTGGCAGGCATTGTTCTGAACGCTTTACAAATATTAATTTATTCAACTCTCATACATAACTCTAGAAAGCTACACATCAGTCTTGTTTCTTGTGTGTGGAAACATACGGGGTTGTAGAACCATCTTCCGCCCCAGCCTGACTTATGAACCTGGTCCTTGAAGCTGGAACACAACGTGCCATGAAGACAGACACTTGTGGTGTGTTAAGGAAAGAAAAACTAGTTTTTATTAACACAAAGCAAGAGAAATACATGGTAATGAAGTAGACTTTGGCTTATCCAAGGACCTTGAAGAGAGTTTAAAATGTGTTGTTTTGATGTCTTTCATCTCTGTAGGAAAAGCAAAACCAAGGGTTTCTATCTGGATTAGAAATAAATTTATATTACTGAACTTTAGACATAGGTGACAGAGGAATTGAAAGACAGAAAGACCAAAGAGGCACCTCAGCAGCCATAAAATTCAGCTATTCAGCTGGCCATGAACCTAGGGAGGCCCCAACGCCACCACTACCCCCACATACACAACACAAAGTTAAGCAGCAAGATAGGTTTTACTAAGTGTTTAATAAAGCATTGCACTTCATATTAAAGACAACCATTCTAGCTGACACTCAGAATGTGGACTTGTAGTTTACACACAGTCAGGACAAAGTGGACGAACACATTTTCCTGAAGCTGCGGAATTCTAGAGAGGAAGAGAAATGGGTACATTGGCAGAAGTAAGAAGTAGCTACTGACATCTTGAGAGCAAGGGTAGAGTTAGGGGAGAAAGGGGAGTGGGGGAGAGGGAGAGGGAAACGGAAAAGGAGACAAAGTGGGTGAGGGAAATTTTAAAACTCCTGCAACCTGGAGCCATTTGATGAGAAGAGAGTTCATCTTCCCTGGCCTAGTATGCCATAGCACCCTGATTATATTCCTGTTCAGTAAAATCAATGTTATATGACTTTGGGCAAGGCTCTCATCATGTAGAAACCTGATCTGTGAAAAGAAAACTCAGTACTGGCAGATATTTAAGTAAAGTGACAGAGAAAAGGGAACTGACATTTGTCAAATGCTTCTTGTGCTAGATGGTTTGGTAGGTGTTTATATGCCTCAGTTCATCAAATCCTCATCATGAACTAGATGTAATTGTCCCCATTTTATAGATGAGGAAAATGAGACCCTGTCCACAAGGCTTCTTAGAAATAGAGTGGAGTGAATTATATTCTTTATACTCTGTGAAAGAAGGCAGAGGAGTGTGGAGTGCATTTTATCAGTAGTTCAGTCTTAAGAAAGTTTGGTCATCTTGGAAAAATTTAAAAACAACCTAAACAGTTATCCAGGTCAATGATAATACCCTATCATTTCTGTCATTTAATATTTTTAAAATATATTTTATTGAATTTTTACAGAGAGAAAGGGAGAGGGATAGAGAATTAGAAATATCAATGCGAGAGAAACATTGATCAGCT